AGGTGCAGCCACACGAGAAGCCTCTCAACGTGTCTCCATGTTTCTTGGAAGCATCAGTCATGTTGTGTTCATGTCACGTTGGAAAGAACAGGTTGACAGATTAGTGCAAATTAAGAATTTTGGATTTGAACCTATGAATTGAAATAAACCAGAGGGCAGATACCAGGGATTTTCTGGTCTTTCCTAATTACTTTACATCTAACATGACATGCATGAGACATACCTGTAATACAGCCAAATAGCTGAGATGGAACTTTCCAACTCATCCATCTACGAGGGAATGAACAGCTATCACTTTAAGGAGTGTGCTGTTTTTGTATTGGTTGATTGCAACGAGGGACTCATGCATCCATTGAAGGTAAGAAATGGAGATGTCGGGGATTGAACCCAAGACCTCATACATGCGAAGCATGCGCTCTACCACTGAGCTACATCCCCTCTCTGAGTGGCCATGTGTGTTGGGGTAAATCGATTGATGGATGGGTCAACAAAACATCCATCTCGAACACAATAGACAGCTGTAGATTTTCCGTATGTGTACTGGGTCAGACTAAATAAAGATGGAACACAGCATATATTTCTGCCTAATAAAACTGTTCACATTAAGAGTAAATATCCCTTTGGAATGATACAGTAGCCGCTCAAAACCTCCAGCGAACCATATCACAACATCTGAACATTACCTGTACCCAAACTGGGGCTAATAAAGTGAAGCAGAGAAAAGTTGGAGAGGTTTTTTTAGAGGCATGTTAAGGCGGAATCTCTAAAAATTGGCTATTTGGGTACCATCTGGGTCATTTGAAATTTGCTTGTGTCACTGTAAAACTCAGTCACTTACTTTAATTTCATTTACATGTCACGATAGGTGTCACCATTGGTGGAGGAGAGCTGACTGCGAATGAACCTCCATGCCATGCAAATGAACACCGACGCCTGGAATCAACTAGAAATGATCCAGAGACACTGGAGAAGCCATCAGCAACGTTCATATGCCCTCGAAAACAACGTGACAAAACAGCAAAGGTAAGACACAATTTATGGTTATAGCTGTATAAAGTGAAGTTGATTTGATCTCCTCTCTCCAAGTGTTGGTTGTGGAGTGATAAAAAATATACTGTGAATGAATCTGTGCAGTCTCAGCTTTTATAATGACATCGTTTGTGCTTGTAGCATGAAGTATATTGCTGGCAAGAAGAAGAAGAAGCTGTTTCTTATTGTTATTTGTTTGTCTAACTCTAAGAGTCTTCATCAAATAAGTGTTTCACCTCTAGCGCCTCCATACATAAGAGGTGGAGATGCTGGGGATTGAACCCAGGACCTCATACATGCGAAGCATGCGCTCTACCACTGAGCTACATCCCCAACTGTATCACTCCACAGTATTGTAAGATGGTCTCGGTGTCTTCACCTTCATAACAGATTCATTGATTCTATCTTATATCGTTCACTATATCAACCATCTAGTGGCAGGTTAACATGTCTGTGTATCTTGAGTAACCTGGACAAAAATACCCGCAATCATGTATCATTTGGGTGGCAGGAAACTAATCAAATGCTTTAACTTCAGTGTTGATCCAAATCTCCAGGTTTACCTGGGCTCAGCACAGCAAATCAGAGCCGCTGCCTGAATCACTTCCATCTCCGCCCTGCAATAAAACAGCAGAGTCCATTGTCCGGGGATTAGCGGAAAAGGTTGTGGGCAGTTTCTTCCATTTCCTCCTCAGCAGAGGTGAGGGATGGGGGGTAAATCAGTTGGCAACCAGCCAGCCTCGATACAAACACCAAGCAATGCATATCACACAGGGTGAGTATTAACCCCATTGCCTTGTCATTTTTCTTTAGTCAGACATTGTGGGTGAAATGCTCTCATTCTGCACAGGGTTTCTGCTCTATGATTTAACGTGGAGCCTTTGACTGACAGCTTGAGTGACATATTTAGACAGAGGGAGGTATAGGAGAAAATGTGGACAGATGCAGCCGGAGAGGTGGAAAGTGTGATAGAAAAAAGGGACCGGGAGGGGGGGGGGGCGAGAGAGGTGAGAGGGAATATGCATGGGTGAGAGAGATAGGGAGACAGAAAAGCAGGGTGCACTTCATATTGGGTTTAATTAGGGAAATGAAAGCTGTTAGCTATATGAGTGTTTCTGTGTGTGTGTGTGTACGTGTGTGTGAGAGAGTGCATGTGGCCCCTCTGCTCCTCGGGGCAGAAGTCCCCTGCCTTTTGTGACCCCCCCTTTCTTTCCCTCTCTCACACACACACACACACACACACACACACACACACACACACACACACTTACACTTACACAAGCTGTTACTGAATAAGCGGGAGAACAGAATTAAAAGCCATGGCTGCATTCATTACTTATCCAGTTGATAGATCAGTCACACATTTTAGAGATTTTATGCCACTTCACAAAAAAACATAATTTTCATCTTTTGAGCAAAGTCTGCCCTGATGTTCATGGACAAGGTCAACGTCAAATGTGTGTGTGTGTGTGTGTGTTTGCTGGGCCCAAAGCTGATCAAGAAGCAGCTGCTCGGTGATTCTGAGCCATATAATTACATTTTCTGGAGGTCGGTGGCTCGTGTGTCTCCCTCCATCTCTTTCCCATGTCTGATTTTCTTTTCTGTCATCCTCCTCACCCACAACAATCCCCCAATTTCAACCAGTGATCCCCAGCCATTAGTCACACACAAACTCACACATGCACGTATATAGAGTGCAAAACCTTTGGCCTGGCTGCATGCATTCGCTCAAAATTTGTAAAACAAAAAAAAAAATGTATACATGTGCACCCATGCATTGCAAACATGCAGACACACACACATGCTGTACAGTCAAAAAGACACATTTAAAGACAGGCACGCACACTGACACACAGATTAACAGAAGGAGTGCAGCATCACGCATTGGGGCATCCTTACATCGTGGTCTGAATATTAATGTGTGGGGACAGATAAGCAGCCGTGGCAATCCCTTTAAGGCCGTACTCCTCCCTGGTTAATTTATGCCTATCTGTATGCCCAATTTATGCAGATTTGGTGTTTCGGTCTGAACCAGTGTGGTTTGAAGGCTTCAATCAATCTGACTGTGACTGTGCATCTCGCTGTGTCTTTGTGTCTGCTTATAACGCCACCTAATTTACCGATACCTAGAAGACAACTGGTTAGAAGCCATGTTTTTCAGTGCATTGTGTTGTGTATTCACTTGTCCTCACCTGTCCAGCAGGGGCCAGCAGTCAAGCTTGACTTCAGCTCCAAAGAATTGGATGGATCCTGAATCAAATGTCAACGCCCTCATTATTTGCTCCAGATGCACTGGAGTCAGTCTAAAGAGACAGTGACCCATGTCTGGACCTCCACACTGACATTGATAAATATACTAGCCAGCCTAAAGTCAAGGGTGAAGGCAGGGTGGGGTTTTCCCCCAGCGCCCTGATCTCCAACTGCCACTATACTGATGAAGACGTTCATTGTGATACTGAGCGATGTTTACTCATTCAAAAGTCACTGGCCGCGTAAAGATGAGACGCTCGCAGTGTGAGCTTAATCGGGCTCGATTAGAGACGGCGCCACTCACTTCTTAGCTCCGTGTGGCTTTTCTTTATCATCGCTCCCTTTCCTCCGACCCCTGTCCTCCTCCTCATCCCCCCTCCTCGTCAACCAAAGCCTTTAATCCGTGCCCCTCTGTGACCCCTCCCTTTTGTCCCGGAGTCGGGGTACATGTCTGCACCCCCGCCCCGTGAAATTGGCCGGTCAGCACCGCCAGCCGTCCTGCTCTCCTCCTCAGAGAAAGAGCGATTTAGCGGGAGGCTGAGTGTTTCATTGCAGTTATGGCCGCTGTATAAATTAATCGAAATGTATTCGAATTACAACACAAGCTTGAGCAATTTCCAAACTAAGGATGCTGCTGTTTATTGATTTTCAAATAACTGTGTGTCATCACCACCTTAAATCACATTGCGTCATATTTTTTGAAGTACTGAAGAAGTAAATGTCAAGACAAATGAATAGCACATGACAGAACACAGCCTCTCTGTGGATTATTAGTGTGGTTGAGGCCTGCAGACCATTGACCTCACTGTTTAATTATCTTTACTTAAAACGCTCCGCCCCCGATCATGTCAGATGATTGACAGGTGGATTAAGGAAGCCAGACCACACGGAGCAGAGTTAAAAGGAGCAGAGAGAAGCGTCCTTGACAAATGTTCCTTCTTTAAACGGATATGTCCAGTGGGTAATGATTGAATAATGCTCTCCTGCACTTTGCATTCACACTGTCTCATAGAAAATTAGCTAACAGAGAGATTCAATAGTAAGTTTACCTTTTTATGCTTTTACTCCCCCTCACGTGGAGTTTCACTAAGTGTGAAGGGTCATCTAGTTCAGTCGAGGGAAAGCTTGAGGAAAGCATTAGCTGGCATTTGGTTGGTCCTATTCAGAATTAAGAGGATAAATCTAAATCTGATCTGCACTTTTTAACACAAACTTATAATATAAGGATATAAGGATCTCTTAATTATTTAAAAAAAAGAGGCTACAAAAAGTATTTGGAGAAAAAACAAAACTACTGGTTACAACCTTGCTTGTTTTCTATAAATCCCATTCTAAAAAGGGCACATCTCAGTTTGAATTCAGTATAAAGTGTTGCATGCATCCTCCAGGTTTTAGGACTTCTGCAATGACAGGTTTCACTTTTACCACGACAGGCTTTCATCTCATTGTATGACAGGGCAGACAGTTCCATAATAGGATAATAGTCTAGTGGACACAGTGAAACCTGTAATCACTCCCTGACCCCACTGCCTGTCATTTCCCACACATGAAATTAATCTGTAATTTTAAAGAACCTCATAAAAACAACAACTTCCGCTAACCAGGACGTTTGATATGAATCACTTGTGGCGTATCTTCCAAAAGAAAAATAGGTCCGCACCTGTCGGCCGTGACGTCACCCTCCTACCTGTTGTGTACCCTCGCGCTGCCTTTTTTTCCCGGAGGGCGGGGCGCGAGACGTTCGGCTCCTACTCAGTCAGCGCTCGAGCGTTGTAGCAGCACACATCCTCTAGCCCGGTCACTATCCGCCCTCCACAGCACCGTGAACCGTGCCAGCGCTCGAGCGACACAGCGCGCGGTCAGAATTTGGTTTCACTTCACGGACCTCAACGTGATTTTCCTGCTTTATTTTCCTCACATGCTTTTAAACTGAAGAAGAGCGGAGTTTTTTTTTCTACCAGCGGGACAAGCTCGGCGACACCGGGACACAGAGCGGGGATAAGAGCGAGGCTTCAGCTTATTATAACCCGGGACACTGGGCATTATTCCTGCACGAGAGGACGGTACTTTGGATTACTCTGACGCACAGTTGTGACTGGAATACACCACAAATATAACTACAACAACGTGCCATCTGGTTCTTAGCATGTCGCTTTTCATAAGTAGGTAATACAATACATGAGCGGATGCATGCATTAATGTGCGCTTTGTGCAGATTTTAGCTCCGGGAAGAGCGGTAACCTGTAGCAGAATAGCAGAATAAAACGTTTCAGGAAGCTTTTTTTTTTTTTTGAAATAACCCAAAACTTATCTGACATTGTCTTGGAGCGTGCTCTGCGCCTTTTTTTGAATTCGAAGAAACCTGCGAAGCCCAGACAGGATCAGGATGCATCACAGCTGAAACCACGAGTCCGGGACTTTGGTGTTGAAATCAGATCGGACGGACCTCCAGGAGCCGAATCACGATGAGTCCTGACGGTGCCATGTTGGCCCTGCTACCGACGCTGTGCCTGCTTTCCGGAGCCACCTGGGCAGCGACTCTGGGCGGGCTGGGAGGTGAGTGCGAAACAGACACTCACGAGGGCAATATTAGTGATGATCAAAGCTGAAGTGATATTTAAAAAAATAAAAGCTGATTGTTATTTGGGAGGGCTGTCTTCACTTGAATTTGAAAATGAAAAGATGTTTCAGCTGGCCTCATCATCAGTGATGATGATGATAACAGCTATCAAAACAATAACATGCCCGAGGCTGGTGCAACATCTGCAACTTCAGCATAGTTTGCAGTATATCCTTGTGCCATTCAAGCATATGCACAGCCGAACTATAAGCTCTAAAACATGCTGTGTGATTAGCTTTGCCAGTGTTTGGCGCAAAACTTAATTCAACGCAAAGGTAAACCCGCAGTGCCACGCAGTCAACCTGCGCGCTGCGCTGCTGTTACGCACTCGGGGCGCGGTGCCAAAGGGCTGCCTTCCGCCTTTATTGTGGCTTGATAAATGGTGACGCTGGCGAGGCAAGCAGGTGCCAGGCATGTCCTGCTCATCGCCAACAACAAGTGCATAGACTGGGCAGAAGCGCCGGGCTGTTGGATTCATCCAGACACGTATGGCTGTGCTCTCAACTTAAAGGGACAGTCCAGACAAATGCGCTTCCCGCTGGAGGGATTGATGCATGTTGGGAATTTATCTTTTCATTGCCCTGATCCAGAGAAAGCAGAGGTCAGGATCAGTGGCTCTGTAAGCTGGCAGTGATTCAGCGTCTTGCTCGGGGGGGGGGGGGGGGGGGGGGTAGTCCAGCAGACTAGACGCAGGGGCTTAAAAAACCCAAACAACTCTTAATTTTCTAGAAAAGTGGCTGTGTGCATCACATAGACGCCACACTGACGGTGAAAGAGAACCAGACACAGATTCGGATGGCTATAAGTCCCAGTGAAGACAAGCCCATCTCTCTAACAAGCTCCCCCTTTGTGTCGGGGTCAGCGGCACGGGCTCTCCAGCCTTCCTGTTTTCTGGAAACTGGCAGACAGTTAACATGAAAAACATAAAACAAGGGAGGACATCCAACAAAATGATGAGAACCATATGGGGCAGTAGTGAGACAGCTATTTTCTGACCCTTTGGAGATTAAATTGCAGCCTCTATGAGTGTATACGCATCTCTCCATTTGTCCACTTTTTGAATGTATTCTCTCTCTGTTTGCAGGTTAATAAATCTGTGCTGTTGTTCCCCCCCCCCCTCCTGTATGTTTTTCTTCTTTCATCCCCCTCTCTATATTCTCTGTCTGATTATTTGCTCGGGATCCTTTCTTTCCCTCCCTCTACCATGTGATGGTGTTTACACCCAGATGCAGCAAGGAGGAAAAGATTTAGAGGTTGCGTCACTGTGTGTCCATTGACCATTAGCCTGCACTCCAGTCACCTGACTGCATTAATGGGCTTTGCTCCACAGCTGCACTCTGCAGCAGAGCTTATTGTGCTTTTAACCCCTTTGTACTTTCAAACCTGTGATTGATCCACAGCTAAATTCTTACTTCAGACGGCCACTGCTGGTCCGGGGATTCAGGCTCATTCGCTGAATGAATGCAGTGTCTGTAAGTTAGCTGCCTGTCTCTGTGTGTCATTACGCAACTGTGGCCTGTGGCACGCTGGCCCCGCAACAAATACAGTCGCAACGAGTGCCAGCGAACAGCAATGAGAGGGCGACACTCCGATGTGATGCCCCACAGAGCATGCCTTTCGTGTTTTCACGAAACACTCGCAGAGAAAGAAACTCATCAAACATTTGTATTTCTTGTTTCGTCATTGTCTTTCTGTTGGAATGTTTTTGCCGCAGTTACATCAGATACCTCAACGGTTGCATGCTCGGTGCAAACGTGCCTGACTTTTTATCTTGATTGAAGTCCCAACAACATTGCATTCTGGCAGAGTTAAAAGTAGGTGACATCCTCATCAGGATGTGTGTGTGTGTGTGTCTGTATGTGTTTGCATGTGTGTTATGATTACTGAAGAGAGACTCTTATGTAAGACAGTGTTGTTATGAGCAACTGGTCAGGTGATGCTCGTGTGTGTGTGTGTGTGTGTGTGTGTGTGTGTGTGTGTGTGTGTAAAGCTTGGCTTTGCATGTAAAACAATATCCAAGCGACAACCTGTGAGTGTTGAAGCTAACGTACGCTGCCTCCAGATGCAGTCCTGCTCAAAACACGTCTACAACTAAATACGGGATTTACTGTTCCTTCTTATGGCATCATCCTCAGGACCAGACTTGGAGACAAAGTTAAGAAAGTCTTGTTTCAAGATGCCTTTTATCTTTTTAATTCATTTGGGTCCATATTATCCATCCGTCTCGCATCACAAAGATGTTCATTCCCCACTGCCACATCGCCGTCATGATACATCTGTATGTGTGGTGCTTGTAAGATGCAATATTGAATGGTTTGGTGGCTAATTAGGCTGATGTGGAATCGTTCCAACTCTCTGGTTAAGTGTTTGGGGGAAAGTCGTAAAACTGCTCGGCTGAAATTACCCGCTGCATAATGAAGTCACCATCAGAGTGTGGGCCTTTGGTTTAAAGACATCCCGAACAAGCCTAATTTATTCACATTTGTGTTTTTGCAAACAATTAGGCATTTGGCTTAGCAATCGCGAAACATATTTATCTTACTTATTTCTGTTCATTTTAAAATATCTAAGAGTGCTGAAATAATTTCTATAATGTGCATAGAAATGGAAATAATGAACACATGGCGCTGTATTTAAATACTAAACAAAACTCCACTTGACTTTATATCACATTTATATATATATATGTGTGTGTGTGTGTGTGTGTGTGTGTGTGTGAGTCTGTTGTGACGGGATCAGCTCCAGTCAGTTTCACTGGTCTAGCAGCCGTTTTTTAATGCTCCTCACATGAAAGTCATTAGGGTGTCGGCACACAGGGGAGGGCCTGGCTCCCAGCGGTGCACCCACTGCATGGATCAGGGTCTATTGACTGTGAGGGCGAGAGGGGCTCTGTCTAATTTGATTAGCTTGGTTACTCTGAAACTATGCAGGTATATAAGCATTATGTCCCTTATGAGGCCACCCAGTGTCCATCGACTGTACCACCTGCAGTTTGCCTGGCTTGCTCACCAAAACTATACTTTCTCTCTTTGTTTGCAGTCAACAGGAGCTTAAACGGAATCTCACTCCAGTAACTTTCAGTGATAGAAAGACTTATTTTAGTTTTTTCTGGTTTTGTGCCAACATTTGCTCTCGGCTAGCGGTGAACTATGTGTGGGTGGATGGGAGTCGCATCTAACAAAGACTAATCAAAGCAGGCTGAAGAACACAGTTATCGCCCTGATTTCACTACACACACTGTTGTGTCTGCTCTGAGCTTCTCGTGAATTTTACTTGACAGGTAATTCTGTTGCTTCACACTTCATACTATTATCCAAACAAGGAAGCAGCCAACTCTGATGATGAGAGATGAACATGAAGTGAAATGTCTTGTTTGCTCATCTACCGGTTCTACCTTTTGTGTCTGGACAAATTGTTTATTTCATAAAAATGTATACATTTTTCATGTTGCTGGAGATGGTCGCCCCACTTCCTCCCCCTTCACTTGGTCGATCATTTAGCCTTCAATGAAGTATGTGCCTTGTTTCCTGTTTAACATCATACACGTGACAAATGATGTGACCTTTGTGCATTAGATCTGAGATCCTGAATTGGCGCTTGATATCTTGGTTGGAAGTATGGTCAGGCTCATGATGTGCAAAATCCTCGTCCCTGCACACTTTCGCGTCAGAGAAAAGGCTGTGGGGATAGGACAGGAAACCACTGTAGAGAATGCTGTGAGAATAACGTGGACTACAGTACATTATGTGTTTGGCTACATTGTTGTCTCCCACCAGGGAATACAAAGTGGTTATCCAAAGACAAGAGAATTTCCCTCTTTCTCATCCCTGCATCCCATTCTCTCTTCTCTGTTCCTTCGTCATACTCATCCAGCGCTCATCGCTCTCTTCTTAAGTGTAGCTGATAGGACCTGGTGGAGTTGAGTGGTGCCATGGGAATGGAGAAAGACTTTGGAAAGGCTTTTGGCTCTTCCCTCAGTTTTGTCTGATAAGCCCTGGTTCTTTTTGCTGGCTGTAGAGTGAGTGCATAACGGAAAGCATTTCCATCTACATCTCTCTTTGGCTGTTAAAATACCTCAAGTGGTTTAGAAACTCCCACCATAGCTTGTCTGGTTATTCCCTGAGCCAAAACGTAGCTTCTCTCGGTCTTTCGCTACGTCTCAACAGTTCATTTTTTCAGTTTCTCATGTTTACTCTTCCTTCTCATTCCTCTGTTTTTGTCTTTTCGTTGATCTTCTGGAATCCATTTTTTTTTCGTTGGTCTCTGACCTTTGGCTTGGAGAGTAAGAGACTAAGCTAAGACTAAAGCTAAAGCCTCTAACAAATCAAGCTAGCGGCATGTTTTTTTTGTCAAGTTATGCATTCAAGAAAAGAGTGATTTTTAGTACAGCACGGTTAGTAACATACACTTTGTGAAAAAGTAAAGTCTGGCAAGAGGAATGGAGGAAGGGAATGAAAGAAGGATGAGAGGAGTCAATTCTGAGCTCTCATCGGCCTCCTACAGACAAATATATTTCTCTCTTTCTCCTTACGTTCGTCAGCAAAGTTCATTAGCTTCTCATGTGCTTTCACTGATAAAGCTCTCTCTATGAAGCCCCAACATTGTCTCTGATTGTGAACGCGGCATTAGCGCGGCACACGTACATAGCTGTTCATGCACTCTCCCACGTTGTTTGTGAATGGTCAGCCCACACAGGCACTCCTGTTACTGGAGCCCATCAGAGGAAAGGTCAAGCCGAGTCAGATGCCAAAGGCCACACACACACACACACACACACACACACACACACACACACACAAAGTCGAGGCAGGCAGATGCCCTTGGTTGCATTCCCAGGAGGATTTCATGATTGGGATTCTTGGTGGCTTTTTTTTACGCTCGGTCCTAATTCTCCAACTCTTGTTCCGATACGTCCGTCACCACTTAGCATGACCGC